CGCCTATGTAAACAGGCCCTCAGTCTACTATTATTGGGTTCCGCACCTCCGCTTTAAATCAAGGCCCATTTCCACTAAAGAAAATTTTCCACGGACAGAAAATTTTCCGAAAATGTTATTGTTAAAAGTTGAAAATTTTCAACTTCAAAATTTTTTTGCGACGGAAAATTTGTGTCGGCTAATCACATTTTACAAAATTTTCCGCGGAAAATGAGCCTTCGCTCCCTCTTTGGAAGAACTTCAAAGTAGCAATATTTAACAGACCAGATATTTATGAACTCGTGCCAGCGCTGGTGGGCAGTGCCAAAAACACCAGAGAACTGTAGAGAACTGCCACGCAAGAGTTGTCTGGTTCGAATTAGCGGACTATACAATGCTGCTCAATGTGTGAAACTATTCGTTTTCTGGTTAAATTAAACAATTGTTTTGTCTAATTCACTTTGTGTTCACATTTACAATCTATAAATCGTAGTCTGACGCTTGGTATTATAATGTATGTTTGACATAATTATCGCATGTATTATAAAATTTCGTAATTATTATTTGTAACTTGTAAGTTTCTAACTAGTTACAAAAAATTTTTAAGTAACTTTGCTCCATTGTAACATGTATCAGTATAACTATAGTCACTTTTCTGATAATGTAACTTTAAGTACTTACAAAAATTGCATTAACAGCACTGTGTAAAATTATTTCTATAATAGACTACGGCTTCTACCACGCGTTTTGCGAAATGTGTCTTCCATTGACATGTCAACATCGATTCTTGGTGAGAAAATAGAAGTCCCGTTTTGTATCGCACCAACTGCCATGCACAAATTGGCACATCCAGAGGGTGAACTGGCCACAGCAAGAGGTTGGTATAAACTTAAAAAAGTGGTACGTGCAGTCTGCACCGCGTGTTTTCGGCGATTCACATAAGTTGTTTACATATTGGTTCAGGCCAATCAGATGGCATGTAGTAAAACACTGACTACCGGAACACCACCTAACCCCAACCCTAACCCCCAACCCTAACCCCCAACCCTAACCCCCAACCCTAACCCCAACCCCAAACCCTAACCCCAACCCCAAACAAAATGGTGGTGTTCCGGTGTTCCGGTAGTCAGTGTTTTACTACATGCCCAATCAGATTGCGTGAAATCGTGATTGCTGGTGTATTTGTTTTGTCGTTTGGTTTTGAAATTATTTGCATTTAAAGAACGACTTCCAAAACGCAGAAATCTCGCATTATGCTTCCAGATATAACGGGGGTCTCTGGCCAAGTTGGTCAAGAAAAAATGCGACGTCTGAAACCACGTCGCAATTTTCTCGCATTATGCGACCCCACCGGTCGAGTCTAAAGTTACGCTCGAGTCAAATCTTGCGCATCTACCTAATTCAAGCTATTGAATGGGCCATTCCCCAATTAACCAAAATTTTGATCTCAACAAGTCTAGACAAAATTCCATCATAGCATGAAAGAGCATCACAAAATTAGTAATATTCCAAAGTTTCGTTGCGAAATGTTGTAAAATGCGGATAATATAGCCTTGCAAATTTGCAATTTTCAGTCATTTTAGATTACAAACGGGAAATGGTTACCACTTTTCCAAAATTTTGATCTTAACTAGCCTAAACAAAAATTTCATCACAGCTTGAAAGAGCATCACAAAATTAGTAATATTCCAAAGTTTCGTTAAAAAATGTTGTAAAATGCGGATAATATAGCCTTGCGAAGTTTGTAGTTTTCAGTCATTTTGTATTACGCACAGAAGTGGTAACCATTTCCCGTTTGTAATCTAAAATGACTGAAAATTGCAAACTTCACAAGGCTATATTATCCGCATTTTACAACATTTTGCAACGAAACTTTGGAATATTACTAATTTTGTGATGCTCTTTCATGCTATGATGAAATTTTTGTCCAGGCTTGTTGAGTTCAAAATTTTGGTTAATTTAATTGGGGGAATGGTCCATTCGACACGTGCAAAATGCGACGTTCGAAACCGGCCTAAGAGATCGGTTCGCTTCAATCGATGTTCTTTTCTTCAAAGAAAAGAAAATGTACAGTACCTAATGACAGCTTTGCAGAAACTCACAACATCGATTAAAGCCGGGCATATAAAGTTGACTAAATTTCTCATTACAGCCAGTTCTCGTATGGGCACAT